ATTTTTGGTTATTTAATCTACATAAAATTTATAAGTACCTGGTTATAATACACAAGGACCCTTCTGCGGCCCTAGTATGTACTTCCACCCATTAGGGTCCTCCTATAAGTTAGTTTGCAGACTAATCCGATTATATTTCAGTCATGGCGGGATGCCTGCTTTTGAACGAGCTACTTTACGACGCTGGTTCCCTTATTTCGTCGTCAGACTTCAGTAGGTGTACAAAGAACAACTAGAATTTCAAAAATGCTTTAAAAAACCAGTAGCCATTTGGTGTGAACGCCAATTAGCGACTGCAGTTTGTGTCAGTCCGCAACGATCGATCGCTCCTCATCCCTTCCATTTTTCTTTGTTTTATAACGGTGACTTCTGTGTGGTGTTACCGTCTAAGTACGCCCATTAGAATCCTGAAGAAGAACGTGACATTTTTCTTGCTTGATATTCAAAGTTGTGCCAAGTTAATAAACGGACATATTTTAACTCAATAGCATCAAAGGCTTTTTGTCCCAACAGTAACCTTCGGGCTGCTAAAACCGTCACTGAGAGCACATTCAACGCCTTCCGTATCACTTGCCGCAATGGGGACTCGATCCCCACCTGCTCTAATTGTTATCGACCACACCTTAGGCATCGGCCACTTGCGGGTCCATCGAACTGTGTCCAGCAGACCAGTGTCAATAAAGCCGATATACACTCACCGTACTGACCTCCACTGTACTACGCACATTCGGTAACCAGAGGAGCCTATTAAATCACATGAGAACCTGCGGTGGAACACCGCCAGCCATACTAATTCAACATATTTATTGTCAAAATACGTATATTACAAAACACAAGCACACAATCAGTGCCTCAGTGCTCTTCTGATATAAGTGCAATCCCACGTCGAGAATATGACGGTTCAGTTAATTGAGATAAATAGGCATGAGTTCTCTAGTTCACTGAAACCCACAGCTTTGGAGGTTGACAAAAGAGTAAACTCAACTCCCGCAGTCAGCTCACTGCGCGTTTGTGTGAAGTGACCCAGTGGTCCGGCTGCAATGGTTCCTTCTTGCTTTGGTCTGTATAGCACTCCCAGTCTGTGGGATCCCAGCCGGCTACGTAATATGCGCTTAGGCTCGATTCCGGTCGCGCCAGCCGCCTGCTCCCTCTCACGTCTCATATCTTCTCCGGTTGTTAATGATAGTAGGCACAGACGGGAGGAGAAAATAGGGTGGTTGATGTAGTGCAGGACTACGACTACTACTACGGCCATAAACTACATCGTCCGCGCACACTAGCCGACATCGCTGCGTTGCTACGTTCTGTATCCAACGGTTGAGTTTCTCGAGATCGACGGTCCAGCATTAATAGATTGGTGCGTGTCGAGTTTCTACATAAAATAATCCACTTATTAAGATGGAGCAACATCAGCGGACACAGCGTTCTACGCTAAAACATAAGGGCGAGGGCCCCTCATCATCTTTGAACGTATGGTCCCAGTCAGGACTTGCAGCCATTACACAACCACCTTCCTCTCCGTCCATGTGGTGGGGATTTCCTAAAGCTGGGGAAATTGTGAGCCGATTCTGATGGGCTTCTATCGCCAGCAGAGTAAAATTTGCGAAGTGCGCTCGAACCCGAGACGTTATGATCATTGAGCGCCAATGCAAATTCAATCTCGGGGGCCGGAGGGCAGACCGGCTTGTCCAATACGCTAAGTGGTGCATAAACTCGTCCCCGCATAGTATCCCACGACTTACAACTTAACGACTGTGTACTTGCACGCAACTGATTACCCCAATAAAAGAGTATCTTCCGACTTCTTATCAAGGGCAACACCTGCTAATACGCTGTGTTTCAGTTGTCAATGTTTAAAAGACTACCACAGGATACTTGAGGGCATTAAGAAAGAAACCAGAGGCACGGCTTCCCGAGGTGCCTTCAGCTTGTAACATCGGGACCTGTGTTTCTTTAGCCAATAGAGGAGCAAAAGTTGAAGCGATCGATAAAGGAATCCTTTTATTCAAATTTAAATAGGAGTCATCAGAAATTGGCAGAGGGAATGATCAAGGCGAAATAGTCGGCGCGTAAGGAACACGTCCTTTTGAGTACATATCGGGTGATTAAAAGTAAATAAAAAATATTAGCTTAAAAAGAGCCAGAGAGCAAGTCAGAGTTCTGAGCAGTTTCAGGCAGTGTCAGCCTCGGCGACGTATGCGGCCGGGAACATACCAAAACGGTCGCCAATCCGACCTTCCCACCAGTCTTCGTGAAACTTGTTTATGTTGGTGACCACCTCACCAGCCTTCATCGTCAGTTCGTCATCTTGAGCTGCGGATAGGAAGAAGAAAAGGACAGTCAAGGGAAGGAAGTACATCGTTTAAACGCGCAGGACGACTGTGTCATAATTAAATGCATCCAAAAGTTCCTACTGATGTTTCTAAGTAGACAGCGTAATTACGAACTCACATCCCTTGAAATCGTACAGC